GATGATGGTGATAGTGATGGGGTGATGGTGGTAGTGATGGGGTGATGGTGATAGTGATGGGGTGATGGTGGTAGTGATGGGGTGATGGTGGTAGTGATGGGGTGATGGTGATGATGGTGGTGGTGATGATGGTGATGGGGTGTTGGTGGTAGTGATGGTGATGTTGGTGATGGTGATGATGGTGATGGTGATGGTGATGATGGTGGTGGTGATGATGGTGATGGGGTGTTGGTGGTAGTGATGGTGATGATGGTGGTGGTGATGATGGTGATGGGGTGTTGGTGGTAGTGATGGTGATGATGGTGGTGGTGATGGTGATGGTGATGATGGTGGTTGTGATGATGGTGATGGTGATGATGGTGATAGTGATGGGGTGATGGTGATAGTGATGGTGATGGTGATGATGGTGATGATGGTGGTGGTGATGGTGATAGTGATGGGGTGATGGTGGTAGTGATGGTGATGATGGTGATGGTGGTAGTGATGGTGATGATGGTGATGGTGATGGTGATGATGGTTATGGTGAAGGGGCAATGGTGATGTGGTAATGATGGTGAAGGTAGTGATGGGGTGATGTGATGATGATGATGGTGGTGATGGTAAAGGTCACAGTGATGATGATGGCAATGATGGTGTTGGTGGTAGTGATGGTGATGATGGTGACGGTGATGATGGTGGTAATGGTTATGGTAATGATGGTGATGGCAATGATGGTGCCATTATAGTTGTGATGGTGGTGATGATGGTGATGGCTGCCATATCTGAGCATTAACCATAACACTTGTAATAGCTATTCCTAGTATGTAGATGAGCAAGCTGAGGCTCGAGGTTAAGTGACGTGCCCAAGTTGGCGGAAGCTGGATTTTACCAGGTGCCTTTGTTCTAGAGTCTATAACCAGCACTCTTAACTCCTATGCTACTTTGCCTCCCACGATTAGTAAACCCTTAATGCTCTCCACTCAAGACCTCTTAAAAGTACAGAGCAGCCAGGGTGGTAGTGAATACCACTGCTGGGCTGCAGCCTGTCGGTGGCTTGTGAGGACAGTCTCAGTGGCTCACCTGCACACATAGCCCATGCTTCCTCTCACCCTGTGTGTCCCAACATCCAGCCTGTCTTGCGGCTCCCACCACCCAGCAAGCTCACTCCAGCCTCGGGGCTTTTGTATCAGCTGCTCCCTCTGCCTGGAATTCTCTGTGCCCAGATCCTTCCCTGGGGAACCCCTTCACATCCTTTGGGTCTCAGGTTGAATTTGACCTTGAATGAGGCCCCTCTGCCTACAGACTTTAGTCTCCGCCAAGCTCAGCTATACAAGATCTGGAATTCTCTTGTTTATTGTTTGATTGCATATCAGCTCCCTCTCACTCATCGGGAAGGCCCAAGGGCAGAGACCTCGCCTGATCTGTTCGGCTGTTTCCACACCTGGCACACCGCTGGCCTCAGTATGGGCTGTGAAATGAATCCGCGGGTGAACGGGAAAGTGGGAAAGAAATGAAAATTATGTTCTTTTCAACTCTTCATTAGTTTGGACTAACTAGAGAAAGTCAGATGGGCTTGGGAACATTGGAATGATAGGCTCTCTCTCTAAAAGAAGTGAGGTTTATTGCTTTCAGGTTGTACAAAGTAAGGAACAAGTTGAAGAGGGTGTTGCCTGATGGACTTCCACAAATTAACTGTTTTAAATGAACAAACAGATAAGAATGATTTGTGGTGAACATGTACGTTCTGAATGTGTTTTTTAGGTGCTAGAAATTTATTTTTTAGTCATTTAAATACTTCCCCGGCAACCTTGTTGATACTTCCTCCCCAAGAGTAAAAAACGGTGAATTTCTTTCTTTTATTTATTTATTTATTTATTTTATTTTATTTTTTTTTTGAGACGGAGTTTCGCTCTTGTTACCCACGCTGGAGTGCAATGGCGCGATCTCGGCTCACCGCAACCTCTGCCTCCTGGGTTCAGGCAATTCTCCTGCCTCAGCCTCC